GCCAGAGACTGAAGCTGAAGCTCAAATACTTTGGCCACCCAATGAGAAGGGAGCCCTCACTGGAAAAGACCCTGATGCTGGGAAAGACTGAAGGTCAAAGAAGAAGGGGACGGCAAAGGATGAGATGGTTAGACAGTGTCATAGATGCAACGAACATGAAACTGAGCAAACTTCAGAGGACGGCGGAAGACCGGAAGGCCTGGTGTGATCTGGTCCATGGGGTCGCGAAGAGTCAGACTCGACTGTGCGACTGAACAACAACCAGATGTCCTCTTTTTAGAGGACACGTCCTCTTTTTTTGGCGTCCATCCTCTTTTGGGCTCTTTTAAAAAAATTGACGAAAATGTCCTCTTTTGGGGTTTGAAGGTTACGAATACTCTGAGTTAGTAGCAATTATCCCAGCTGAAATAGGAGGGGTATTTAAAATCAGATTTGTCATAGTGATCACTCCTTGGAAGTAGACAGTCGGGAAATATGACTCAGGTGGGGTCACCGTGTCGGGCTGAAGCAGCAAAACAAAATTTGAGTCCATTGGCACCTTTAAGACCAACAAACTTTTATTCTGGGTATCAGCTTTCTGTTGGGGATTACAAGTTAAAAACACTTCAGTATATCTGGGGTTAAATGTTTGTGTTACTCACAGGAAGTCACATGTGTTTCATGAAGCCAATGCTGTTTTAGGACTGCAAGCCCGGGAAAATTATCCCTGATCTAGGAGTTTCATTGGAAGTTTTAGGACTTCAAGCCCGGGAAGTAAAGTGTCAAAGTATTTTAGCATTTTATGGCTTCTCTTCGTCTTTGTTTGCTGTTCTCAAGAAGAAGTAAGAGAAGCCATTATTGCTCTCTTCTAGTCTTGCCTTTGTAGTGTAAAGATGTAGTCGATTAGTTCCGTTGTTATTTTCATCCCAGTTACCCTTCCCTATGCATAGAATGTATTAAAAACTTTCTATTTTAAACACACATGGACTCTGAGTCTGGATTATCTTACTCTAGCTCTGCTAAATTATATTTAATCTGCTAAACACCAAATTTTTAAACCCAACACTTTCGCATGCACACAAAAGCTTATACCTTGAATTAAACTTTGTTGGCCTTAAAGGTGCTGCTGGACTCAGACTTTGTTCAGTCGAGAAATATATCCTCTTTTTTGCTTTTCAAAATATGGTAACCCTAGCATATACTCTTAAAATCCTGTTGGCCTCTAAGGTGCCATTGGACTCAAACCGAACTGTTTCTAGCTGAGAGCCGGGGTGGTGTAGCGGCTAAGAGCGACGGACGCCAGTCTGGAGAACCGGGTTCGATTCCCCCACTCCTCCTCCACATGCAGCCAGCTGGGTGGCCTTGGGTCAGTCACAGTTCTTCCAGAGCTCCCCCAGCCCAAATAAACAAGTTTAGCTCGCCACCTAATGGTGCATAACGCTAGAAGAGCTGGAACTTAAAGGCTGCCAGACAATCTTAGGGTCTTCTGGCTATACTACACACAATGCCATGCAATGATGATAATGACTGTCGTTTCTAACTGTTCTACCTTACAGGGTGTAGTTGTTGTCAAGGCAGAAATTTGGGAGAGGGAGAATGATGCTCCAAGCCTCTTTGGGCTCTCACCAGGAAGAAATCTGGGGTGTAAATGTGAAAACAAAACAAAACACACCCATGTCCTCCTCATCCACCTTCCCACAGGCCAGTCCACTCCCCTGATGAGCCTACTTCAAGTCACTTGAGAGACAAGGGGAAGGAAGCTGTTCTGCTGCCACCAGCCATGTGCTGGTGCTTTCACATGATGCTACAAATACACCTGGACCAGGACTGCTGCTTTCTAAACAGGACTGTGTGAATCGGCTGGAGACTGCATTTGTCCCCTTAGACTTCCCTTGAACCCGCAGTCCCCTCTTCTGCAAAAATGCAGACCGGAAAACCATCTTTACTTAAGAGTACCAATACTTTTGAGATACCTCTGGGGGTGCAGGAGATACTTCGAACCAGGAGAAAGGCTCCTAGGATTGCCATATGACTGCCATTCCTCCCCCCCCCATGTCCCCTTGAGCAAGGAAAAGGAGAAGAAAACTTGTTATGGGGAACCTACCGAGAATCAGGGAACAGAAGAATGAGCTCTCGGCAGATCTCAGATATTTCCAAGGGCCTCAGCAAGAAGAGGGAGGAGAAGGCCAGAAACAATAATTTTATCCATGAGGAAACAGATCTAGGTCAGGCACTCGGAAGGATTTTTCCACTGTAAGACATTCCGGAGAGAGCCAGCTGTGTTGCGTTGGAGTTCTGAGTCACCTTAAAAAGCTAACTAGACTGTGTTTTTGTTTTGTCAAGGACATCTGGAAGGGCATCAGAACCAATCGGCTCAATGGTGCCTACAGACCACCCTACACTGTTCAGGAGTATTTTCGGACCAGGGAGGAGGCTGCGGGTTCTCAGAGATTTCCCCAAAACAAAACAAAAAAGCCAGACTGTTGTTAGCAAGGAAATTGTAGGTGGGAGGCTGTGCAGTTGCTAGCTGGCCAGAAGAAAAATGTACACCACTTTGGTGTAGTGGTTAAGTGCACAGACTCTAACTTGGGGAACCAGGTTTGATTCCCCACTCCTCCACTTGCAGCTGCTGGGTGACCTTGGGTCAGTCACAAGTTCTGTCAGAGCTCTCTCAGCCCCACCTGCCTCACAGGGTGTCTGTTGTGGGGTGGGGAGGGGAGGGGAGGGGAGGGAAAAGGGGATTGTAAGCCGCTCTGAGACTCCTTTGGGGAGTGAAGGGCGGGGTATAAATCCAATCTCTTCTTCTTCTTCTCTCACTTTAATAGGGTCTTAATGGGTGGAAATGGGCAGTCAAAGGTTTTCATAGCATGGAGATAAATCCATGGGAAAGGAAGGGGAGGGATTCAGGGTTTGCCATTTTACTTTTTATTTTAACTGAAAATGGTTTTAACTCTTATGGTAAGCCGCCTTGAACCATGAGGAAAGGCATGGAATAATAATAATAATGATAATGATAATGATAATGCCAGCTTGGTGTAGTGGTTAGGTGAGCGGACTCTAATCTGGAAGAACCGGGTTTGATTCCCCACTCTAAGGTGCTACTGGATTCAAACCTAACTGTTTCTAACTGAGAGCCAGTGTGGTGTAGTGGCTAAGAGCGATGGACACTAATCTGGGAGAAATGGGTTCTATTCCCCACGCCTCCACATGCAGCTGCTGGGTGACCTTGGGTCAATCACAAGTTCTCTCTCAAAGCTGTTCTCTCAAGGGCAGTCCTCAAAAGAGCTCTCTCAGCCCCGCCTACCTCACAGGGTGTCCGTTGTGGGGAGGGGAAGGGAAAGGAGTTTGTAAGACTCCAAGTGAAGGACAGGGTATAAATCCAATCTCTTCTATTAATAATAATAACAACAACAATAATAATAATAAAAAATACCTGGTGACTGTTGCAGCTCCAACGGATATTACAGGGGCAGCAAGATAGACCAGTTTCAAAGTTGGCAACTTCTCCCAAGTCACTTTCTACCTGTGGGGAGGGGGCGGTTGAGCCAGAGGGGGGAGGAGTCTGCAAGGGCCCGCCCCTCCCCTGTTCCGGACCCTGGGGGCCTGGCTTCAGAGACGCAGCGCTGGGGCTGGCAGGCCGGCATCTGGCGGGACCACTTCGTTCTTTCTCCCCAGCAGCTGCCGGCCCTGGACGGAAATGCTCCTCGAAGGCTGGACGTCGCTGGCTCTTGCGCCCTCTGGTGGCCCGAGAGAGAATTGCTGTGGCGCTTGGGAACCGACGGCGGAAAGGAGCCCTGACGGAGCGGCCACGACTCGCTTGTTCCCCTTGAGTTCGTGTGAAAGGGCTTGGTGGGGAAGGGAGGAGAGGTGGGGCGGGGC